ATGAGTTATATAACTGAACTATGTAATTAACGAAATCACGTGTCCTTGACTTGTCAATTTTTTTTATTTTTAGTCATTGAGCAATACTTTTATGTAGATCGGCCCAAAATTGAGTTGGACTATCGGCCCACCGGGACAAGTCCCGGTATCCCGATAGGCCAATCCGCCCCTGCCTAACCCGTGTTCTGGTTTATGGATATAAAGCACAATTTGAAGAATTACGTGACCTTACGTCATACGTGGAATTAACCATTACGTGACCTCACATCATACGTGGAATTAACCATTACGTGACCTCACATCATACGTGGAATTAACCATTACGTGACCTCACATCATACGTGGAATTAACCATTACGTGACCTTACATCACGCGTGGAATTAACCAAGGACTTTATGAGGGCTGCTTATTCAGAGTCACTACCAGAAACAGAAAGCAAGAGGCATGGCTTAATAAGTGTAAGTAAATAGACCATCGATCTTCTGATCGATCCAAATGTCAACAAGGCGTGTCTGTAATGGATGTAACGGGAATCTTCTGGAGGAATGTAAAGAATGGGTGTAACGAAAATCTTCTGGAGGCGTGTCTGTAATGGATGTAACGGGAATCTTCTGGAGCCATGTCTAGAATGGGTGTAACAACAATCTTTTGGAGGCGTGTCTAGAATGGGTGTAACGGGAATCTTCTGGAGGCGTGTCTAGAATGGGTGTAACGGGAATCTTCTGGAGGCGTGTCTGTAATGGATGAAACGGGAATCTTCTGGAGTCATGTCTAGAATGGGTGTAACAACAATCTTCTGGAGGCGTGTCTAGAATGGGTGTAACGGGAATCTTCTGGAGGCATGTAAAGAATGGATGTAACGGGAATCCTGAAGGGAAAATTGTCTTCCAAGCGGATTCAGAAACCACCCTGAAGAGATCTGTGGTGTTTTATCAAACAAGGCATCATGAGAAATAGAGGAAAATCGAGTGGAACATTTTAAACATATTATTCGATAGAAGGATATATTTGTACAATTCTGCTTTGGGTCTGTACACAGTGGGTTGGGTCTGTAGGTAATGGGTTGGGTCTGTAGGTAATGGGTTGGTTCTGTACACAGTGGGTTGGGTCTGTAGGTAATGGGTTGGTTCTGTACACAGTGGGTTGGTTCTGTAGGTAATGGGTTGGGTCTGTACACAATGGGTTGGGTCTGTAGGTAATGGGTTGGTTCTGTACACAGTGGTTTGGGTCTGTAGGTAATGGGTTGGGTCTGTACACAGTGGGTTGGGTCTGTAGGTAATGGGTTGGTTCTGTACACAGTGGGTTGGGTCTGTAGGTAATGGGTTGGTTCTGTACACAGTGGGTTGGCTCTGTAGGTAATGGGTTGGGTCTGTACACAGTGGGTTGGTTCTGTAGGTAATGGGTTGGGTCTGTACACAATGGGTTGGGTCTGTAGGTAATGGGTTGGTTCTGTACACAGTGGGTTGGGTCTGTAGGTAATGGGTTGGGTCTGTACACAGTGGGTTGGTTCTGTAGGTAATGGGTTGGACTTGTATAATGGTTGGTACTGTAAGAATGTACCCCTGATGTGTTTCCTTTAAGGAGCGCATTTAACCCACGGCAGTGTGTAATTGTGGGAACGGTTTTGTAACTTTCTAAACAGCTCCGAGTTAATCTGCAGTGAATACTTGACCAAAAGTATTCAAGTTGTTTATTTGTGTTATAGCAACACTTATTAAAGATTAACACAGAACCTAATCAGACGTGTTCACAAAGTTTGTTCATCTATATTCTTTAAATCTGTGTAGCATGACGTAAGATCTGGTGGATATGGCACCCTACTCGAATTCTTCAAGTCGTGGGTTCGAATCCCGTCACCAAACATGCTCACCCTTTCAGCCGTTGAGATGTTATATTGTTTCGACCAATTTCACTGTTCGTTGATAAAGAGCAGCCCAAGAGCTGACGGTGTGTGTTGTTGACTAGCTGCCTTACCTCTTAATCTATCACTTCTAAATTATGGACAGCTAATGCAGATAGTCCTCGAGTAGCTTTGCGCGAAATTCAACAAACAAACAAGGATTACAAGTGGATCCCAGAATCCCAATCGACCACAAACTATTTAACCAAACAACAGAGAAACGACTCGAACGTTCCTTTAGTATACGGTACGATAGTAACCACAGTTGCATGCCGTATCATACAGTACGTGTGGTTTACCAATCTAATCGTAATGATCTGTAAAATCTGAACCAACGCACATCTCGTGCTCCACTCACAGAATTAGTCCGTTTTTTTTGTAAGATAATTCGTATTTAAGCTACAGTGTAAGTGTACAAAGTGATTCCAACTTAAATTAATAGCGAATAAATTCACGAGTTTCTTCTTCTTCTTTGCAAGTAAATAAGAGCACGAGATTCAAAGAGAGAAAGCACTTTTCATTTTATTAAACATCTGTTGGACATTATTATGTTTTCATCGCTATAAGGAAAAGAAGTCACTGGGCCTAGTGTCTTTACGTTCATCATTATCTTTTCATTTGCTCGTTCAAGGCTTTTGTGACTCATCGTGGAATGAGTCAGCGGATGTCGCCTTTCTCAACAGGCCCATTATCAGTGAATATTTTTATGCTTATTAGAAGCGTGGTGTTTGTCAGTAGGATTTTGTGTGTTGGATTTTTATTTTTTTCAAGTTCACACTGCAGTTCTTGTTTGGCCCCCTAGTGGCTCAGCGGTAAGTCTGAACTGAAGACTTATAACGCTAAAACCCGAGTTTTGATAACCCGTGATAGGCACAGCACAGATAGCCTACTGTGTATCTTTGTGCTTAACAACAGACAAACAGAAACTTTTTATTTTGTATTACCCGTTTTTGCTGGTCTGTTTCATAAGAATATCCATCCTGTAAATTTTACGTTCATGGGGTGAGGGTGATATTAACATCTTCTAACTTGGTGTAATATTTCGCATTGAAACACGAACCGTATGTTTAACGAATCATTAGATATCTGTAATACCACACCTAATATTTGAATTGTAATCAAAGAACGAAGTCCTCCTTTCCGAAACCATTCGAGTTTCTTGTTTTGTGATTTATCTTCTATATGATTTGTTTCTTTAGAATTGAAGTTCATCAGCACACTGACCACGTGAACTTTGACCGATAAATGTACATCGAATTTTCGATGAAAACTTCTTGGGTACGAAATGGCCATTGATGCAGATGTGATAGTTAGAAGAAGCGTATCTCTTGTTTTTAAAAAAAATATTATCTGTCGACACAGGTCAAGAAATAAAAACAAACAAAATGAGTTTGTTTTTCGTTTCTTATAATGGTTATGCTGTCAGATATCAGTTAGGAGAAAAATAACATAATGAGTCAAACTTACACAGTAGAACGTGAAAGTTTAAATGATATTGAAATATTTAAATTACAAGTAAAAGTTCAGAAGCTTCTCCCGTAGCATAGCCTCGTTTTAGGCTTTACCTTTTACTTTGAGTATTTTTGTGGGATGGGACCACATCGTATTAATACATGCCGAACAAAGCCTGAACTGTCGGTGAACCTAGGACTAGAGTGTTCTCCTTAAACGATTTGAAATTTAAACCGAAATAGGCGCCCTCACACGTTGGGCAGCTGAATTAATAAAATACACGTGATTATTGAGAAATTCAAACCTTTTTTGGTGTTTAGAGATCGAACAATCACATCAATATGCTTGGCCACACTGTTATATAAAACAATAAAGATGGTGGTAATAGGGCTACGAGATAGATGCTTCAACAATTACAGACTTCCGCTTCACGGTGGGGATATGTGGATGTTAAAATATAGAATAATGAAAAGTCGTGTGCTACATAATATAATCTTTCAGAACTATCAGTAGGCTTCTGGTGAAAACGAAAAAAAATCTCTAACAAATATATATACAGTCATTAAACAGTTGGTCCACTGTATAATATCAGATAATGAATTCGATGAAATGTCATAACATTATTCACGACCTAAATTTATTCAGGTTACTATGTGGTAAAGTAAAATGGACTCGAAACCCCATTGATAGAAACTGTAATAATTTAATTATTTTAGGTAGTGGAAGCTGGTGAATTGACTCTCCCAAGATGGTTACATAGATAGAAAGTGTAATAATTTAATTATTTTAGGTACTAGAAGCTGGTGAATTGACTCTCCCAAGATGGTTACATAGATAGAAAGTGTAATAATTTAATTATTTTAGGTACTGGAAGCTGGTGAATTGACTCTCCCAAGATGGTTACGTAGATAGAAAGTGTAATAATTTAATTATTTTAGGTACTGGAGGCTGGTGAATTGACTCTCCCAAGATGGTTATATAGATAGAAAGTGTAATAATTTAATTATTTTAGGTGCTGGAGGCTGGTGAATTGACTCTCCCAAGATGGTTACGTAGATAGAAAGTGTAATAATTTAATTATGTTAGGTACTGGAAGCTGGTGAATTGACTCTCCCAGTATGGTTACATAGATAGAAACTGTAATAATTTAATTATTTTAGGTACTGGAAGCTGGTGAATTGACTCTCCCAAGATGGTTACATTTTGACCAAACAAGCCACAAGTTTCTTGGAGTTCCTACATCCAGTGACATAGACCAATACTACATCAGCGTCAAGGCTTTGGGACCACCTAGTGTAGATGGTAACTGTAAAATTTAGTAAATTCGTGGTTCTTATATATATAACAAATGACCAATGGCTTTTCTCCTTCATCTTAGAAGTTTTAAAACTGTTAATACTAGATGGTGCTAGTAGTGTAACAGCTCAGTATGTAACTTGGGTCGTAAGGTTCTATTTAAAACTACACACACACACTTCAGATAATGAGAGGCAACTGAAGGATGGTCAGAAATCTAAAAGGATTAAAAAGATTGAGTTGAAAGTAAGTTAAAATATCCACTTTCTCACAGGCCTGGTTACGGTCATACCACATATAAAATATCCACAGGCCTGGTTAAATCGTACAACGTACATTCCCAACACACCTCATGATAAGAACATGTTAAAAACAGGATTTTTAATTTCACACACACACAAAATATGTATAAATCAGATCTGGGGTTCTCAACCTGGGGTCTTGGACCCCTTGGGACTGTAGGAGTGTATCAGGAAGGCCATAACAAATACACAATACTTACAGTACCCAATGTTTATAGATCCATTGGGTGAGAGGCCTCAGCAAGAATGCAGGATGTTCTGGCAGAGGACGGGGGGTGCTGAGGAGATTTGGAGACCCTTGGATAATTATATTATAATTAGTGAGCATTGCATAAACTTTAACTTTTTAAATATTCAGTCTACATTTTTCAAGGTTTAGTAATGAAATTAACAAAAATGCAGTGTGTTAAATGTTTAATAATTTAATGTAATCTTAATTAAATCAGAAATTGTAAAGGCTTGTGATTTGTGTTAATAAAGATCAGGAAAACATAAACATAACTCCAGGTTATTTCCATGTAAGTATGAGACCTATAAGAAAATCAGGTAAGTCCCATTACTGAATACCAGCACAATTTCAACCCTGAACATGGTACTCAAAAAACACACCGGATTTCTTGCTTCCATTAAACATATGTTTAGATAACTTTTAAGATTACTAGCTGTATCAAATCCAGTGTTTCCTATACATTCTTATTCTTATTTCAGGGAAACTCTCCAGTGGAAAGGATGTATTCTCTATTGAAGTGGTACCAGAGTTGCTCCCTTTTCCTCAGGATGGACCCAAATCTTATTTTGGGATAGAATTTTTCAAGTGTTCCAACGGAGAGTCGGTCAGTGTTGCAAGCGTGTTTGTTGATTGTTCCTTTGATGAACTTAGTTCTACACAACGAGTCAGTATTATTACAAAAATGGCTTCTTTTGCAGGAGTGCCCACAGATTTGATAAAAATATCTCCTATTAAAAAAGAGTGGAAGATTTCTGATGAATTAGCCACGGCTGCTGGTCCAGGAACTGTGAAAAAAAGAGGAAAGCCTGGAGTGATCATCCAGTATCAAGTAAGCTGTTCTGGTCACATCAGTATTTCTCACAGTGACAAGATTTCAGAATTAGAGTGTGCAGTTGGAAATGGGTCTTTAGGAAAATCCCTAGGCTTTGGAGTTATTGGCTGGAATGTGGCTGACCAGCCGTTACTAGGTCGACGAGTAAAACGAGAATTTAATACTCAAGGAACTCCTGTCCTACAAGAATCACTTCCTAGTAGATGGCCAACATTTTCGGAGGTAGAAGGTCCAGAAGAGCCTTTCGATGACAGTAAGATACCAGAGTCCCGAGTGATCCCTTCTATGGCCTCCCCAACATTCTCCTTACCATCCAAACATCATCGACATCACCATGGTGAAGACATCAGTGAGGGAAAACATGAACATCACAGAGATGCTGTTCAGGTGACACCATCCCCTACGTATAATTATCACTATCTACCTACCACTTCACCACACTTTGCAATGATGACACCTGTTATTCAACCAGAAAGGCCAAGTATTTATATTTACCCATCTGTCAAAGAAGAATTGCAATCGAGCAGAATCATCCCTGATGAACTGACTCCTGTTGAGACCCTTCTTTCCTTCCAAACATCACCTTTTATTACACAATCAGATACAGATGTGTTACCAACGTCATTTATGACAGCATTAGTTAAAACATCTGACGTCCATCCCACCAAAAGTTATAGTGTAGAGAAGCCTACCGAAAAACCAGTGATACACAAAAATTTCAAGCCAGTAGTTTGGAACCACATTAAAAAGCTTCAAGCCTATGCTGGCCAAGTATGGCACTTTGAAATTCCATCAGATACATTCGTTGACCTTGAGGATGGAGATACCAGGAACCTGAAACTGATATTCATGACAGAAAGAAGGACAGCAATTTCACCCTCTTCGTGGATTCAATTTGATCCAGAAAAGCAGAAGCTGTATGCCCTTCCTATGACAGAGAACATAGGTAAGTATGAATTTATCTTGGAAGCCATGGATAGTCATGGGATGTCCACATTTGATCAGTTTGAGATCCAAGTTTGGGTAGAACAATCAATGTTTGTTCTTCATCATGAATTTACGGTAAATCTAAAATATGAGAAGTGGAAGTTCCCTGTTGATATTGACTGGCAGATAGACGTGGTAAACAGGCTCGAAGAGCTCTATGGAGACAGAGATGGTGCTCACATTTCTGTCTTGTCTGTGACCCAAGATCCCACATCATTAACGTGGACAAACATTTCTTTACCCCACTATTCCTGCCCTTGGGAAGCAATTGCTGAGTTGATGAGGAAACTTGTCGCCAACGACAAGGGACGTCCATCAAAATCACTCAAACAAATAATGAAACCAGATTTCAATATACAGAAGATTCTTGTCAACTACCATGGAATATGTAACCAGCTACCAAGTTCTACACCTACATTCTTTAACTATTCCCCTATGATAAAGAATCCAATAAACAGGATTAAAATCCAAGCTGGAGAAATACTCCAGTTTTTTATACCAGAAGACACTTTTTATGACAATGAAGATGGCATCACTCCCAACTTGAAATTAATATTTTTAACACTTGACCAGGAAGAGCTTCCTACATCGTCATGGATTCAGTTTGATTCAGATTCACTGAAACTTTTTGGACTTCCCCTTAAGGAAAATATTGGAATTCATGAATTTCAGATTCTTGCAGTTGATATGGAAGGCAAAACAGTTAGTGATGCTTTTGTTGTCATTGTGAAGTCTCAACCTGCCATTCATACGAGTGTTGAATTCAGTATGCACATTGATACAAACTTTGAGCAATTTAACAAAAACACAGAAATGAAGATTCTTGTTGCACAGAAATTAGCAAGTGCATTTGGAGATCCTAATACTAAATACATAAGTGTCTCATCAATTACAAATGGTTCAGTAATATACACATGGACAAACAGTACACTTCCATCATTTCCCTGCCCAGAAGACACCATAAGTGAACTTTTCAATTTCATGTTTGAAGACAGTGAAACAATCTCAGAAATATTCATCAAAGCAATGGAACCAGAATTCAGAATCAGGCAGGTTGAAGTTCACCCACTGGGTGCATGTGTGAATGTTGTTGATACAGCCTCTGCAGCTGTGACACCTAAAACACCAGTGAAAGAACAAGTAGGTGCAGATGTTTATATTACTGCTGTTATCCCTGCTGTGGTCATAGCAATCATACTTATTATTGCTGTTATGATTGCCTGTTTTCTGTATCGTCGAAGACACAGGGGAAAGATGAAGATGCAAGATAACAGTTCTTACATGAACAAAGGAATACCCATTATTTTTGCAGATGAGCTCGATGAGAAGCCAGAATCAACAACATCACCATCTCTTACAAACGAGGAGAAACCACCCATCTCCAGTTCTGAGAATGGTATCTCTACAGAGGAGGCTGTCCAACGTACTTCGCTTCTTTCTGAAGGATTAGATGGTAGTCCCGATGCAAGTTCCTCCCCTCCTTACCGTCCTCCACCTCCCTTCACCACAAACAGAGACAGCAAAAACAACAGACCAAAGACCACCCAAACATATAGGCAACCTCCTCCTCCTTACGTTCCTCCTTAACACTTATTTGCAATTGTCATACGTAACCCTTTTTTTCTGGAACGTCAAATTGGTAGAAAAAAAACCAATGATGTTGAACTAAAAAGTTTGTACTAAAGACAAAAACATCGCATTGTCTTCCACCCTTCAGTGGTGCCAATTGTTGCTGTCTTTTTTAATTTTTGTCATGTTAGTTTTTTTAGTTACTTTAAAGTTGTAAAATTCATGCAAAATGTTTTATCAGAAAACAAGTTATTTTTTTAATAACCTTCAGTATTGGACTTACTGCTGTATCAAACCTAACAGACAATGTGTTAATATATATGTACTGTGGAAGAAATTCTGTGTTCATCAGAATTTGACAGCTATTGTGGAATATACAAAAACATTTTAGGATTTTTAAACTATAGAATATAAAATGCTTTCAGGTCATTCAAAGTGGGATAAAACGTTTGCTAAATATAAAAGCAACTTTTTTACAACCTTCAATGGTTGGATGTTATAACCGTTAAAGTTCTCAGGTTGAAAAATTTTTTCCCACTTTGTATGCATACGATAACAGCTTTAGTAAGATTTATGTTTTTATAAAATGTTTTTCGTTTATTTTGCTTTAAGTTAATTTAAAAAACTTGATCTAATCAAGACGTTAGTCAATTTTATTTTTGGCTCGACTGAAGAATACCATACTGTCCTTAAGATAGTTTGTAATAAAAGAAAAATATTGGTATAACCATATTTGTGAACATAAAAAGATTCTTTGCATGTGTTTATATGACTCATGTAGTTCTACTTACCTAAGATTATATACATATATATTTTAAGAACGTTAAACATGAGACACAAAATATTATTCCCCTTTTTTTTCCCCATATCTTCAAATCAGAAAGTTTCTCCAGTAACAAATCATGTATTTATAGCATAAAAAAGTTTATTCTCACGTGTTTGGTGTTATACATTATGAATCTGTTCAATATGCAGCTTCTCAGGGATTAGGTAATACCATGTTATCCACTGTATCATATTCTGATGGTGTATTTCGAGTTGTGTTTTTACTTGTCGAACTATGTATTGTAATACGTCATGATCTGTACTATAACATTGAAGTTTCCCATATTATAAATACTATTTTCTTTTTCTACTTATAAGACTATTTTACGGTAACAAAGTATGAATGAAAAAAACGAGTGTAATTACTTATCATTTCCATATTGTGTTTGGAATTGAAATCAACCTAGGGTAAACTTTTAAAATAATATGTAAAACGGCTAGGCAAACATGAAAGCCATCCAAAAAAGGGATATATTTCAAGCATTTACTAGTTAACATGTTCCTTTTCATGTTACTTTAATTGCTTGTTATCTATGTTGAGGTTCAGGACTTGACATTATTGAAATACTCTATTTTTAGTTGGGCTATAACAAGCAAAAATACATCCTGCGATTTGTTCAGGCATACATTAAAACACTAGAATTATAGTTTGTTGTTATTACAACTGGTGAATGGTTACAGCTGTTGTTACCTTAACAAAGTGATTTGTTCAGGCATACATTAAACACTAGAATTATAGTTTGTTGTTATTACAACTGGTGAATGGATACATTCTGTTGTTACTTTAACAAAGTGATTTGTTCAGGCATACATTAAAACACTAGAATTATAGTTTGTTGTTATTACAACTGGCGAATGGATACATCCTGTTGTTACTTTAACAAAGTGATTTGTTCAGGCATACATTAAAACACAAGAATTACAATGGGGTTTCTTATTACAGTTAGTGAGCTGTATTATAAGAAAGTCAGATTTTTTAGGGTGGCTGAACAATATTTCAGTAATTGTGCCTTTGTCATGTTTTATTTTGGACTTTTAGTTTCTTAAAAAAACTTGTATAGATTAACTGTTTTTCTAAAGTATTTTGTGTTGAATAGAAACAACATTGTGAGAACAAGATGATTTGAAAGCAGTTCTAATAACTTACGATTTAGTCTTCCTTCTATTCACAAAACTGTAAATTAGGTACATATTTTTACTAGCTGTAATCTTATTTTGCATTCATCATGCAGTGAAAACGAAAAATCGATATATTTTCGTTTGTTCTTGTCAACATAAAAAAAATGTAAGATATTAACGTATCTGTTATCTATGTTTAACACTAAAACTATTTAAATCCACATTAATTAAAAGAAGATTTTAACATAGTTTAAGGAAAGGTTACAGTTTCCAACTCTGTGGTTGGTGGAGTCAGTTGTACAAAACTGTAGGATTTTACTAAAATCTATTATTAATTTTCTCTTATCTTAGATACTCGTAACTTTGTGTAACAGTTTTCTTATAATTGACCAACATCAGAGTTATTGACATTTCTAATTGTTATAATTATAGTGTAATTGATGTGATGCAACATCCTCTGAATTGTATCACACAAGAACTTGTGTCAAGACAAGTTGTTTTATCTGTTTAATTGCATCCTTTAGACGTAGGTCTTCTCCGCACTAAACTCTGTGCATATATTGTTAAGTCTTACCTTGATATTGTAAAATCAAGTAGACATCCTTGTTCAGTGGTAGCTCTGATGTGTGTGACTGTTACTACACATCAAGATAACATCATCTGTATGATTCATGTTTATGTGTTTTATGATTACTTTCAGTTGTTAGAGTTTAATTTGGCCTGAAACTCATGTAAACATACAAGTTTTGACACAATTAAATCCATTGCATGCGCTTTTATAGAGATGTTTCTATTTTGTTGTATTTTCACATGCTTGTGAAGTTGCAGCAAAAAGAAAAACAGTTTAATCTCAGGCTTGTCAATGTTGGCTTTCACAAAGTTGTTATAAATTTAAGACTTTCTGTTCAAGTTCCTTCTTGTAATTAATTATGTTTTGTCCGTCAGGGAAAATAAACTCCGTCAAACAAGTCGTGTATCTGTGCTCATATTTAAAAATATTTTACACCATTAAATAAAAGCTACTTCCACTGTGCAGTGAAACATGTGAACACTATCATGAACACAACACTACAGCTGCAAGTGTTTCACCTTGACCCTTGATATGAGATGATGCATTTACATCAGACATCTGGATATCATGTTGGTATGAAGAAACTTCTTTTATTGAGATTCAAAACATACACAGGTTTCAGTTTACCAATATTATAGACTGGAGACAGTGTATTTGCTAAACTTATTCATAATTTAATATTTTCTACTTTTTTTTTCAAAATCTGTTCGAAAGGGGATCCATATCGGTGTAGGGAAACAACAGGTTGGATGTTAAAAGGGGATCCATATCGGTGTAGGGAAACAACAGGTTGGTTGTTAAAAGTCCATTTTTTATAATCTGCTGATAAAAAAAAATTCAAAATAAACATTATAAAAGCAGCCACAAAATCTTCCGAAAGTGATTTTGAAGGATTTGTATATATACTTTTGAGTTTCTACCAATTTCGTGATTTACATATATCACTTTTCAGCCATATACCTGAACATTACATCTAAAGTCTGATTATATTCTCAAAAACTAGTCTTCAAATTGAATTTGGGAATCCTAGAGATGCTGGAAATACTGAATTAAATATGCTGATAAAAATCTGTATTGTTTCATTTTTAACCATTGCACTATGAGCTTAGTTTTTTTCCAGTTTTTATATTTTGTTGTGGATTATTTTTTATGAAACCACCCAGATCTTCCTTGCAGTGATTTATCATATAATAAAAAGGTATTTTATTTTTCTCTGTTTTGTAATATATGTATTTCAGAGGTGGAGTGAGAAGATTGCAAAATATAACTTCTGCCATTATTCATTGTTATGGCTACTAGTCTATATAATCAGTTACATATCGTTTTAATTATTATTGTAATTTACTAAAGAATAATTACTAAAGTGATGCCATCTTCAGGGAAGCCTCGTTAAGGACTGTTGTGATAGGTGCCAGGATTCAGTCCTGGGTTTCCTTACCCTTAGAAAGGACTGTTGTGATAAATGCCACCACTGAATCCTGGGTTTCTTTAGCCTTAGAAAGGACTGTTGTGATAGGTGCCAGGATTCAATCCTGGGTTTCTTTAGCCTTAGAAAGGACTGTTGTGATAGGTGCCAGGATTCAGTCCTGGGTTTCTTTAGCCTTAGAAAGGAGTGTTGTGATAAATGCCACCACCGAATCCTAAGTTTCTTTAGCCTTAGAAAGGGCTGTTGTGATAGGTGCCAGGATTCAATCCTGGGTTTCTTTAGCCTTAGAAAGGAGTGTTGTGATAAATGCCACCACCGAATCCTGGGTTTCTTTAGCCTTAGAAAGGGCTGTTGTGATAGGTGCCAGAATTTGATCCTGATTTCCTTGTTAGAGGACATTCACCCCATTGAAATACAGGTGGCAGAACCAGGAATCTAAGGATGTGTGCCTCCCAGTTTTGACCTAGTAGCAATGTACCCCTTTAAATTTGGAATAGACATTATCATGGAAAGTAGTTCCTGTTGAGGTTTTGGATTCAGTGGTTATGGTTAGCACAGTAAATAAGTTGATCCCCAATCATTGGTGTCCTTCCCTATTACAAATATATTCTACCACCTATACATTGAGACTTTAAACAGCTAATTAACTTCCAAGAAGAGGTATCCATGTTTTTTTGCGTGTGTGGTTCATATCAATCATGATGATCTAGTATGTAATTGTTTATTATTTGGTATAACCACCCATCTAAAGTCATAAACCAATAGTTATGTTACTGATCAATAATTCATGGCATTTAATTTATTTTAAGAATTACAAGGGTGATTCGCACAATCTAGCAAGATTTTGAGAACTGTTTTCAGTTTTCACGTTAAGTTTTCCAAAAACAACAATTTCCAGTGTCTGCATTCTACAGAGGGTGGTATTATCCAGCCCATTGGCTCGTGACCGTGACCCTCTCGCTGTAATTTAATGGAAATGTGACCAGTTGCAAGTGTAGATAGCATGTACAGTTGAAGGTTTACAGGTCTTTCTCCTCTTATATGATTATAAAACCATTCAAGGAACAACATTTTACAGCCATAGCTACAAGGCTAAGAAAGTTATTGATCATTGTGTTCTGAAATTATCTATTGCACTTTGAAGCATTTTATGGGGTTAGTATCTGTTAAATAGGTGAGCGTCAAATGCTGTTAAATGCTAAACATTTCTTAGTTGTTTAATCACTTCAGTAGGAGTACAACCATGATTTCAAAAAAGGGATTTCTGTAGTGTTGAACCATATCTGGTAAAGCAAGAGAAAGATTTAAAAACAGGATACTATATGACTGGCTACTAATTACACACACACATACACACCTAGTCAAAAAAGTTAAAGTTTGTTACCAAAAACAACTAAAGTATTCATCCTAGTAACATTACTACAGATTACAAACATGTACCCTTGTTATATGTATTAATGATAACACTGTTAATATAAAGTGTAATACTTATGGCTCTTTACCGGAATTACAATTTGTATGTTGGATTCTGCATGTTGATAGAGAACCAAAATGAACATTACGATAAAAGCGTGTGAAGATATTTACTGAAAGAGCTATAAATTGTGGAACATTATCCCATAAGGTCATACAACTACCAAAGATCCTAGACTGGTTGAAAAATGAAGATTCTTTAATGAATGAAAACCACTTGGATCATTAAATATTGATATATTACAATCCTCCTACACTTGATCATCACACATTACTAGGTGACAACGTTTCAATATCATCTGCGGGCCTCATGCCTAACTCAACTAGGTTTATTAGATAAACGAACACGCAACTCACCAGGTAATTGAAAAATAGAACAAACGCGAAAACTTCTCATTAAATAACTTTTTTTTTTATATATCTTATTTAAAACTATATGTACCCATCTATATTTCACTCGGATTTACTAGATCTTAACGTCATGCGCTTTCTAGCTATCACATAAATTAAAACAATGAAAATATAGCTTTCAACACTATTATTAATATTTGTTGCTCTTGATGTTGTTTAAAATTGAATATTTATCCTGGACATTACATTCAATCTTATGATTTACCTAATGTTAAATATTGTCCTTCAAACTAAAAGTTTAGTATAACTGTTTTTCGTGAGATATTTTTGGGAACTTCCTTAAATGTAAACTGAAAAGCGCTTTTTTTTTAAGGATTAACCATTTCTTTTCTCGAGTTTATTTCTTTTGTTTGTTTGTTTTTTAATTATGCACAAAGCTACAAAAGGGCTATCTGTGCTCTGCCCACCACGGGTATCGAAACCCGGTTTCTAGCGTTGTAAGTCCGCAGACATACCGCTGTGCCACTGGGGGGCATTTATTTCTTTTAAAATAATTTAAAAATCGAATTAAATATTCACACTGAAAGGGCAATATGCCGTTAACTGGTACGAAAGTCGTGCTCTAAAGTAATATTCGAAAAGTTAGATAAGAAGAAATTAAAATAAATCCAGCGGCGAGAAGAGTAATACAGGAAAATAATATTAAAATAAATAAAAAAGTATAAGTTTTGGTGAAATGCGCCTATCTTTTCTAAGTGAGTAATATCACATAATAGGGTTGATCATATTATAGAATTTTAAAACAATCAACTCACAATTATGTTCGATTGTTTATAAATATGAAATACGTTTTCTTAAAATAATTTAATACCAATAGCCCATACAAATCAGTTACAAATGAAATTAAACTATAACACACATCTTAAATTTGCTTTCTGAGCTAAAAACATTGATAGCAACAACAATTTGGGATATTAGTAAAACGGGCTTAGTCATAATCTTATTATTTATTTAAGTTTTATAACGAATTTTGTTACCGGTAGGTGGTGAAAGTTGCTATCATTGAACTGCTCCATATACATGAAAGTTGAAAGTGGTGAAATTATATAAATGTTATTTTCATGATTTTTCAATGCACACCTCGTATTTTTGACGCAAATATTGCTTAGGATGAAGCTTGTTGACCATGTTGTGCAAAGTTTTTGTGTTGCTAAAGTCTTTAGAGAAAATACTGATCGTATTAATAGTATTGATTTCTCCACAAATGGTGAAACACTGATTTCGAGCAGTGAAGATGACTCTATTGTAATTTACGATTGTGAAAAGGGAACGTAAGTGAAACAGGTTGAACAAAAACAAACAGAAATAATGATATTTCAGTTCACTATTACTTTGCTTACAATAGAAACATTATATTTTACGGACACTTTTAAAGCAGTAAATAATATATGGAATGGAGTCAGCAAAATCTAATCCTTTCTTAAGCCTATATTTACACTTCGAAATCCATCGTACTTTCAAATAATACCACTAGATAGCGTCGTATTAAAATCAATTATTGTTAATTTTAAAACCGCAATTATTAGCATTAAAATTTTGAAAGATTGAATGTTTTTAGTTATAATGGTTTTAATCTCTATAGGAAATACTTTTACTTGTAAACACTTACAATGCATATCAAAACACTGCAATCTTCGAACTATGTTTTATATCTCAATTATTTTCTTCTAGTTTTACCGATTTCGTGACTTCAAGTACAAAGGTCACTTCAGTTCAGGGTGTAATTTTACAGCTACTCTAATAAAAACGTTCCAATACCACTTTTCAACGAAACATAATTAACTTCAATTAAATACACGTTTTTTTCAAAATGTACAAGCATGGAGTACAATACATTTATAAATCAGATACATTAAAATATACCCAAAAATAAATTTGTTAAAGCTTAAAAAATGTATTTTATTTTCTATTCAATAGCTATGTAAATTTTTAGGTTGTTTCTTTTGATAAAATGATTTTATTGTCATTGGAAACATCCTTCAATTTTTTTTTATCTACTATTTGTTTTAATTATGTATTAAGAAGTGAAATATCAGTGTGTGTGAGATGAGAATAACAAAAGAAAAATATTTTACTTCTAAAGATACATATATCAGAAGAGGTCAATGAAATACTGCTGGAAATAAGAAGTGAATATATTCATATTAGACAACCTCCTAATATTTTAGGATAACTGATTATAGAAAGGAATAAAAAAAGATATAAAACATTTAAGTGATCTTTTGGGCATATTATTAAAACCTTTTTTTATCTCATATTCCAAGTATTATTAGGGATGATTTTGAATCTGTTGAAGGATTACTAAAAGATTAAAATAAATTTAGAGTTTTGTTTCTTTAGATGTATTAACTCTATATCCAAATATTGAGCATGATTATGAACTAAAAACTGTGAAATTTTCATCTATATTAATATGAAAAGTTAATTAATCCAATGTTTAATCTTAAAAGGCTTAGATCTAATCTTAAGAAATTGTTTTTTTTTCCTTTGGAAGAGCAAAGTTGCCATGAAGTTTCTGTTACAACAATGGGTATAAAAGCTGCTTCAACTTATGCTAATATAACTATAGAATTTTTTGAAGTATAATTATTTTGAAGAGAATTTTCATAAAACTTTCATAAAAAAATAATTTGTAAAGATTTCTAGACAATTGTTTTGTGATACATTTGTTGGGATTTTTTATTTGATAAATAATTAAATTTAGTTTACCTTTAGAAGAATTAGAATGTCTCATCATTTTTAGATGTTTCACCAGAAAAAGATATTGTAAGTGATATTTTTACATCAGTGTGTAGATTGTTTTAGTAATTACCCTAAACACATTAAATGTTCCAGTAAATTTTGCAAGTAGATTATATTATTTTGTTTCTGATGAAGAAACAATAGTTAATAGATTACTAGAGCTAAAACAGTTTTTAGTTCAGTGTAAATATCCAGAAAATGAGATGTTACAAGATTTCAAAATAACTTTTTAAATAAAAAAAAACATTTAGATGTTAAAGAGATTACACCTTTTGTAATGTCTTATTGCAAATACACATAATGATACTTCATTTGTTAATACATGTTTAAAAGAAATTGAAAGATATTTCCACAGATAAGAAAATTATTTTATCAAGAAAACAACCTAAAAATTAATATAGATATTGAATAAGCCTAAAAAAAAAAAGAGAAATATTTATGGCTTATTTAACTTAAGTTATATTAAGACTATAATAACAATGGAGAAAAATAAAATATTTTGTTTCTCTTTAATAATTCATGAATTTGTATTATATCTTTTAGAATGTGTAAATTGAGGTGATTTCTATTCTGGTGAAACACGTAATGTAAGATTAAGGATGAATGTACATAAATTTCATGTTAGATCTTCTAAAAAAAACCCTCTAAATGTCAGCAAACACTTTAACGATTGTATTTTCAGGAAACTTAAAGAACTATGTTTCTTGTAATATGAAACAAAAGATACATTTTTAGTGGAACTTTAAACAGATAGAGGTGAGACAGCAGAAGTAACAATAGTTGAGTAATGTTAGTTGTTCAATGGTAAACACTATTACTAGGAATCACTAAAAGTAAATAAGGAGAAATTATAATAAAAATAAAAATGATGTAGGAATAGAAAATAAAGAATATTTGTTAAGCTTAGTTTTTGGATAGTTTTTTAAGATTTAATTTATAAAAGGATTGTGTTTGTACATTTTGAAAAATATATATTTATTTTGGGTTATTGGGAGGTTTTGATTATAGAGTAGCTGTGAAATAACATCTTTAAGAGTGATATTTGAAGTCATGAAACCAGTTTAATAAAATAAAAATGGAAGAGTTCAAGAATTATGGTGTTTTGTTGTTTGTATCGACAAGTAGATACTCGTATGTGTTTTGCTTTTATGTATATATTTCAATGTCAAATTTGTATTTAGACAGAACCACCCTTTGATACTTATTTATGAATTAGGCACAAGAAGACGCTAAACAGCAAGAAATATGGAGTGGATCTCATCCATTACACCCATGCTGCCAATACAGCTGTACATAGTTCAACCAAAGTAGATGGTATGTCACATTAAACATCTTGCTGTTTAATTAGTAGTGGATGGTATGTCATTCTTGTTGATGTTTAGTTAGTAGTTGATGGTATGTCACATTAAACATCTTGCTGTTTAATTAGTAGTGGATGGTATGTCATTCTTGTTGATGTTTAGTTAGTAGTGGATGGTATGTCATTCATTCTGTTGATGTTTAATTAATAGTGGATGGTATGTCATTCATTCTATTGATGTTTAATTAGTAGTGGATGTTATGTCACATTCTTGTTGATGTTTAGTTAGTAGTGGATGGTATGTCATTCATTCTTGATGTTTAGTTAG